TTAACATAAGTCTCGGTTTTGGTAAATGATCCACTTTGGGTCTCCGCCATTACACCTTCTTTAGGTGGGCTGGCCTCCGAACCATGCCAGTAGCCCCAACCCCCTCCTGTATTTCGAATATTTACATTCTGCTTGAGTACTGTGCCTTCTTTCATCATCAAGAAATCTCAAAATGTTACATTGGTGGCAGCAGAAAGCGAACTTAATCCTAAAGGACATCCATCCTGATTTCTACTGCTGGGTGGTAAATCTCAGTGGGGTAGAAGAAGTGCCTATGCTACAGATTAGAGAAGTGGTGACGACCCATACTGGAAATGCTGAAAATGATGTCTCCTTTCAGCAGTCACCCCACTCCCGTGGTCTGCAGGAAAGTTATTCACAACCGGAGCGAAACCAGCTGTGATCCGTCTGGAAAAACTCGTTATGGAGCCACCCACCGTACATGTATGCAGACATGAATATTGCGAACACGCGGCGCCTCCTCCACTTCTCTACCAGCTGGATGGAACCCAGAAAGAAATGGCCGGGAAGCTCTAGAGTGAGAACAACGTGACAAGGGAAAAGGAAAGCGACATCCCACCTCTTATAGAAATGTGTTAAAACCCATCCTTTGTTACATGACTGCTTTGAAGCCAGTGCTCCTACGACCAACTATGGACACCCGTAATGGTCAGCACATTTCCCCGACTCCAAATCCAATTTCCATACAGGACGAAACTCCAGATTCAGCTGAATTGCCAGGAGGGATCAGTGACGTTGTGGTCAAGCATCGTCCCAGTTGTATGGAAACTCGATGAATAGCGCGGTTGGCTCGTGAGTGTTTATCCTGCAGCACCTGCTCCGTTGTGATAGCTGACAAGGGAGGTTGATTAAGGGGAGCGCCGGGGACGACGCTCAAAGGAGGGAAGGGGCTATGTAATGCGTTGGATGACTGTTTAACTCTCAGTTTCGGTGAAGGGGCCACTTTGGGTCTTCGGCATTGCACCATTATCGGGTGGACTGGCCTCAGAACCTTGTTGGTAGCCCCGGCCCAGCTATGTGCCGAACACATGTACATTTTGCCCGGGTATTATGCCTTCTTTCTTCTTCAGGGAAGTTGTAGGGCGATACA